ACAAACCAAAACCGGGTGACCCGCAGGGTCCGATAGCGACTTTGGCGCTGAGGCTGGGGGGGCAGCCTCGTCTGTCCGGTCCGCTCGTTTGGCATTGCAAATCCACCCCAACTCGCAGGGACCCCCGCCCTGTCGTACAGGATATTGGGTTGGGGGCGAACGCCAAAGGCATGCAAAACGAGCCCCCTGCGACTTGTAAGCGAGGAAAAGGGGCGCCATCACAATTTAATGCAAGGGCTGCACCCCCAAAATCTAGACCCGGCGCGAACGCTTTTTCAGCCATTTCATCATTAATTTTTTGTTTACTCTCTATCTCTCTCCGTGCGTCGTCGTCAGCAAGGGCGCATGAGTCGATGTCTACACAAGGTCATGGTCCATCTAGTCAGCAGCTCGCAGAAGACAGCGAGTCTTTGACAGGCCCGGGGGGCGGCGGGGCGTGGCCGGGCCGGGTGGGCCTCTCTGTGTAGCCTTGGTGGGGCTGCTTGGGGCTGCTCTCCGCCGCCCCCTCCCGGTCACGACCCCGTTACACCTTTTCGCTGCGTACTCCCCCCTCCCCCTCCCCTTCCCCCTCCCCTCACCATCCCCCAGCCATCCCCTACCGGAGGGGCTCTGCGGGCTTTGCTCGCTCTGCTGCCCTATGCTCCGCTTGCCTGCCAGCCCGCCGTGGCAGCCGCACCCCCCAGCGCAGCCGTGGCGCAGCGCAGCCCCAGTGTGGGACTCCAGCCCCCTCTAGTGCCGTTGACCCGAACTACTACTGCTGCTGCCGCCTAGGTGCAAGCGCACTCTATACCTACGCTGCTGCAAATTTTCCCGTGTGAAAAACTGTCACAAAAAAATTCATCCAGATTTTTGCCTTTTCCGCGTATAAGCGATGGGGCGATTGTAGTCATTCGTACTCTTTCACCGCTTTCTAAATCCTTTAAAAAGTGCGAAGTCTTCAGCTACCTACCTGCGCGTTACGCAATCCCGCGCAATCTGGTACCTCGCTTCTCTCATTTGCCAATCTCTGTTCAGCTCAGCTGCTGGGTAGAACGGCGTCTCCCTCCCCCACAGGCAAACAGACCCATAGCAGTTCAGAGGCCGTCCTTCGCAGTTCTGCCGCTAGATGAGTTTGGCCATCTACGGGACAGCGAGAGCGTGGCGTGGCGTGGTGAGGCGGTAGTGGGGTGTGGCGGGGCGGGGCGGGCGGGGCTAGGCCGGCTCTTACGTCATTCATTGCAGGAGACGCGAGAGCAGAGGCCCTTACAGACGCAGAAATAGCACCACACTGTTGGTACACGGAGACGACGGATAGGGTGCCATACACTCAGCTGGGGCCGTGGCATACTCGTAACCAATTGGGAGGGCCCCTCGCGTCGTATAGGTGCAGATTTCCTTGTACAGCTTGGTAATGATGTGGCCTGAAATCGAGCAAAACAAACGACGGCACGTACGAAATTCATTTGTTGATCAGGGATTCAGCGTTGCGGAAAGGCATTGACATTGCAGTGCACACACGGGGGGGCATTATGCGTGCGAGCCAGTGTGTGTGGGCGTTCGTCGTGGATGTGGGTGCCAGAATAGCGCGTGCACACACACACACGCGCACGCACGCACACACACTCACTCCTGTCGTTTGTCGCTTCACTTGGTGAGGATGTCAACATAAAGGCCTCTCCCGACGCCCGACGCCTGCATCCTCTGTGTGCGTGTGTGTGTGTGTGTGTGCGTGTGTGTGCGCGCGCGCGCGCGCGCTGCTGTGCTGCTGCAGCGTTGCTAAACCCACCTAAGTCCCCACCCGCACCTCTGCAGTTGCCGCTTTGTGAGTGGGGTCCTGAGACACACACACACACACAACATATGCAGCCTTGCCAGCTGCAGCTGCCGTGTTGTCGTAGTTGGCGCACCGCTCTGTGCACGCGATCTTTCTCTCTCTCTCCTCTCCCCCCTCTCCCTCCTCCTCCCCCTCCCTCTCATACAAATTCTCAATAAGTTTCCTAATAATAATTGTCATTCTGCTTTAGTTATTATTGGATTTGGCGAGGAAAGTGAGTAGTAAAAACGTGTTGTTCAATATTTTCCCTTTATTATTTTAGAACGAAAACGTAGTAGGGACAACAAATCTGTTTACAAGAACCATCGCCGTTAATACGTTCCCAGCTGCTCATTTTTTGTGCCTATGATTTAACATGGGAGCGTGACCACATAGTGGAAAATTATCAAAGGAAAAATCTCAAGGCATGTTTACAATACGTTGCATATTCCACTTTTTGTGAACAATATCAGAAATAGCTCTTTCGTTGCGTTGACCGCAAGAGACTGTTTCTTTTTTGGACTGCGCGCCGCTATCTCTGTCCCTCCGCGCCTCTCTATTCGCGTCGATGAGGCCGGCCAGCGCCAAGGGGGCCAAGGGACGAGCGCGAGCAAGGCCCTGCAGACCCTGATCTTCACCCAAGGGCCAACCCGGTCCCACCCACCCCACACGTCCGAGGTCTAAATATAAAGTCGACGTACGCGAGTACCGCCCGCCGCCCGCCTTTGCCTCACCCCACTCCCACCCTGCATCACACCTGGCTGTAATTCCGACTTGATGGATACCACAGTATAGAAGAGCATCAGCGGAGTCTATTTTCCCCCCCAACTTACTCAATGGAATGTAAGGTTTACTATTATTAATAATTTTCTTTCCCACAGCAGCGGTCGTGATGCCGGTGAAGCGAGGGGCACAAAAATAGCTTCGCGAAAAGGCGTTGGCGTCGGGCAGGGTACACCTCGGGTACCGCCGTCGGACGGGTGCCTCGCCGCCCAGCTGATGCTCGCGGTGCCCGCCCCGCCTGCTCTTGGCAGGTGGACGGCGAGTTTTGGCGGGGCTTCTCACAGCAGCAGGATGGCGGGGCGGCCGCAGGGGGGATAGGGGAGAGGGGGTGCGGGGGAGGGGGGAGTGAAGAGCGTCATGCAGTCTCTCCCCGTGGCCAGCACGTCCACCCCCACCCCTTTAAAAAAAAAAACAGGAAAAATATCGTGGATCTGGTGGATTTACCCTTGCTCTACTCCAGCATAAGAAAGAACAAAATTTTGCGAACCGGCAAAGTAAACATCATAACTCGCATCATAACACAATCATTGCCCAGTTTTGGATCGGTAATAAGTGCCCGGCAACATCCGAAAAGCGACGGTATTTATTTTTTTGCTAAATCTGAAGTAAATGAGCGAATATACTATTATCGACGCTATGTTAACGGGAAAATTCTTAACGCAAAGCTTTGCGAGGGAACGACGAGTTTTCTTGTTTTCTTGTACCAGCTTTCCTCAAAATTAGTCTTGCGGGCTTGGGTATGGTATGTCCACGCGGTGACACAGACCACTTTGTGACGCATACAATTGTGCCGGTTTTTCTTCTGAAATGTTTGTGCATGACGAGGTAAGCAGCTCTCCGAGATCTGGCATCACGATCACGGTGGGGCCGCAGCCCACGGTACGGTGGTGTGGCCGTGTGGCCAGCCGCAGCCCGGGAGCGCCGGCCCGGCTAGGCAGTCCCGGCCGACGGTTGTGCCGAGCGGGCCTGCCTAGCCGCCGGGCGGCCTCCCCGGCACAACAGGCTGGCGCTGCGCTAGGCGCACCTAGCCTAGACGACGGGGCTGCCGAAAGTGGGTACTAACAAAGTCACGGGCGAGGCGGCAAATTGGAACGTTTCAGACGCTGCAACATAGCTGCTCTGCTCCAAGGAATACTCTCTAAACACACACCTTCACACAGAGATGGGCTGTATATGATCGACCCAGGCGTCCATACGCGCTGCTCATCCTTGAGAATAAAACGCGTTTCACTCAGCTGACCCTGACGGTACGGGCACGGTGCACGGTGCATCGCAGATTACTTCGATAGACGAGGATACGGGCATACGCGGGCAGACAGACAGACAGTCAGTAGTTTGACTGTCAGGTAACGACTCGCTTCGCAAGTATATTGGCCTCTTGGCTTTCGCCTCCTCCAAAGTCTATACCGTACTTTTTGGCAATATGCGCTGACTGTACACGCTGTACAAGAGGCCCGAGGGGGGGGGGGGGGGGGGGGGCGCACGTGCGTCCACCACGAGACGGGACGGCCGACCGGGGCGGAAGTTCTAAAAACATGCAAAGCCTGCTGAAAATAAACCTGCTGCCCGGGATGGAGCGCGCTTATGGAATGGAGTGAGGAGGAGGAGAAAGGGAGAGCGAGCGACTTTGCCCTGACGGGCAGAACTGCAGTGGTCGGCGCGCACGGCGCACACACAGCACCCCCCCCCCTCCCTGAAGAGCCTCTACAACCCCTAAATGAGCAGGCGGCGATTATTGAAATTCGAAATCGATATGGGTAATATAATGTGTGTATACATTATTTCTGCAGTTCGTGTGCGTTTTGGGACGAGTAACTTTTGTTATGCGTTTCTACGGGGTGGCCGTTTTGGCCCGTTGAAGCGAGTGGATGGGTACACTATTTTTCCGGATTTAGGAGTGCTGCGGCCGGGTTGCCTATTCGCACGGAGCTCTGGGGTAAGATTCGGTAGACAAAGACGGCTGCGGGACTGCATCCCGGTTAGACCAGGGGGACATATCACGGCATTTGTTTTAGGCAGTGCTTGATCGAAATCGGGAGCAAGAACGACTGCGAGCTCTACTCAAAGTCCGTTTTATTATATTTCTGGCCGATCCTTGTGATCTTCTCCCGTGGAGCGAAGTTCTCCATAAGTTGATCGACCGAGTGCTCGCTTTCCTTATCACATCAAAAAGTACAGGCGTCTTTACAGCGAACCTGCAAATCTCATACTTTGTAGCCTCAGCGCTACATGTTTGAAAAGCGCGCGCAGACCGATGTGCTTTGCGTGACTGTCTTATTTTTAAAATGTTTTTTGACTGGAGAGTTTTTGACGTATTTCCCGTCATTTTAAATCAATTACACTTCTTTGTTGTAAAGGTTAAACCTCTCAAATGGAATTATGTAGAATCGATCGCGTACTTCTTTCCTAGATTTTAGACGAACTCTAGCCTAGCGTTGTGCTTGGCGTCTCCTGTCAAACAGATGCGAGCAGAACAAAAGAAATCAACTTAGCAGTTCGTACTTCGCATAGTACCACAACACAATTTGGCACCAAAATAATTCCTGAGTTTAATTTCCAGCTGTGTTAAACCCCCCTGCAATTTTGGAACAGGTTAGAAAGAACATTAAATTACTTTGTAAAATAAATTTGTCCCAATCGAAGCTATAAAGTTTTAGATAAAATATGTATCGGTGTTGGCGCAGATCTTGTTGTCTTTGATGAGCGTCTTCACCTTATTTCCGTATAAACTCAAAGATCCTCGTTATATTAAAATTATTGTTAAAAATGATCGACTGTGACAAATGCTGTAGAGCCTTTTACACTTGAACCACAACTAGCATTACGCCTACCGTTTTGAGGTTAGGACGGAGACAAGGTGAACATTTATTCTTGGTGCGTGCCTTCAGCCATCGCTCATTCATTCGCTGTCACATTTAACTTAATAGAGAAAATTAAAAATAATTTAGTTCTGTCACGGTTGTATTCTACCGTTCAAAAGCATAAGTAAGGGCCTAGATGACAGCCTTATTGGTTTGTCAAAAGTTTGTGTACATCAGGATTTGAGGTTAAGTTGATTTTGAAAGGTAATCAAAACAACAAAATTCTTACTTTGTGTAACCCAATTTCTGTACTTCTGTGTTTCAATTCGAGAATCTTACTTTCAATCTATCCCTTAGGTTCTTTACATCCACATTATTGTTTAGTTATTGTCCTTAAATTTCTTGTGATAAGTGCTTATGGAATTCATCAGCATTCTACAGTCCTCTAATGTCTCTTTTTTTCTTCTGTCGTTTGAAGTTGAAACATCAATTGGTACTTTCTGTATGCAGGTGAGAAGAAATAGCTTAACAGTGGACGTCCATCAACAGGCCCCGGGTGCCAAGCGTGCCCTGCTACCAAGATAGTGGGTAGTAAAGATGCCCAGTGCGACAGGTAATATTAGTTTACCTGTAGTGTTATATGTTGTCCAAAGTGAATTGTGTAGGTGTTGGCTAAATTGCTATATTTTTTTTTTTTCACAGGCAATAGCACAGTAAATAATGTACATCATAATAATATGTCTATGAACAACGAAGAATGTGGTATTTGCGATGTGTGGGCACACAATTTGGATAAAGAGTTCCGTACCATCAGGCAAATTGTGCAAAAGTATAACTATGTGGCAATGGTAAGCAGTTGTCAAGAGCTAATAATAAATAATCATATTCCCTGATGAGTGTACTGTAAGTTATTACAATATATTTTGTTTTAGGACACTGAATTCCCTGGGGTTGTAGCAAGACCCATTGGTGAATTCAGAAGTACCGCTGATTACCAATACCAACTTCTTCGGTGTAATGTTGATCTCTTGCGGATCATTCAACTTGGGCTCACATTCTTGGATGAGCAAGGCAAAACACCCAGAGGGCCTTACACCACATGGCAGTTTAACTTCAAATTCAATCTATCGTATGTTGACCTATAATGTTAATATCATGATGGGCCTATTTTTCTAGCTTTTATGCTTAAATACAAGTCATATCTTCTTGCAGAGAGGACATGTACGCCCAAGACAGTATTGAATTACTAACCAACTCAGGAATTCAATTTAAGAAGCATGAGGAAGACGGAATAGAACCATTGTACTTTGCTGAGCTGTTGATGACATCGGGTATTGTACTTATGGACAATATAAAATGGCTTTCATTTCACAGGTAATGTTCTAGTCTTTTACTGCTCCTATGTTAGTCTGAAAATCTATGTGAGGTGTCTTTTAATTATATTTTTCTATTCTACTACACAAATAATCTTATTTTCTTTTGCCTTTCAGTGGTTATGACTTCTGTTACCTTCTAAAATTACTCACTGACCAAAACTTACCTGAATCAGAAAGTGAATTCTTTGAACTTTTGAGAATTTACTTCCCTGTTATATATGATGTCAAGGTAATTATCAGTACTATTATTATTTATTAATTGCCTAATAATATTAAGAATAGTAGGCGTCATTTCCTGCATTTGCTGCATGCTTATTTTTTTCAAATGTTCTAGTACCTTATGAAGAGCTGTAAAAACCTGAAAGGAGGACTGCAAGAAGTGGCAGATCAGCTGGAATTGATGAGGGTGGGTCCCCAGCATCAGGCTGGAAGTGATTCCTTACTAACGGGGATGGCCTTTTTCAAAATGAGAGAGGTATGTGGTATTATTTGCAGTTTATCTTTCATCTGTATGTTTTAAGAATCCTCTCTTTACATTAACAAAATATTCCAATTTCCAGATGTTTTTTGAGGACAACATTGATGATGCCAAATACTGTGGACATTTATATGGTCTTGGCACTACATTTGTGATAAATGGCAACAGTTTCATCGATAATGGTGACAACCACAATGGGTCTCAGTAATGTAAGCTCTGTTACTATCTTGAGGAACTTTATTCCATGACTAAAATTTAGTCAAGTGCATGATTTCATTCCTCAACAAATCAATCATTGTTGTGTGCATTAAAATTCAAATTTCATGCACCTTTATTGCAGATCCTGTCAGATTTTATGAGAAACCTGACTTTTGATCTAGGGGGAAAACAATATTAGAAATTAACTTATGAGGTCTCTTTTAGACATTTTAGCCTTGTTTTTCTATGTGATAAAGTCATCCAATGAATTGTCATATGACCTGAGTTTCAGAGGTGTCATCATTTTACAATGAAGTGTTTTTGTGGGTTGTCTCTCGGGGCATGGTGCAAATTGCATCTTTCTTTGTCATCTGTACAGATTTTTATGATTCTCACCACTATAGTGTATATAAACCAATTTTATATTTGTGCCTAAAGCATAAATGCTCTCATTCCATGAACTGTTAGTGAGGGAACACTCTTAACATCTTCTTATCAAATCTTCATTTTAATTTTCATGAGAGGTAACTTCCGTATCATTGTACATTGTCATTTCATCATATGTTCTAATTTGCCATCTATTTTCTGAATTTGTTAAGAGATTGTAATGCACTATGACTGCTTTTCTTAAGTGTACCGATCGTTGGTGCTGTGAAGGGTCAATCCTCTAGATGTTAATCGTTTAGAAACTTTTTTTTTCCATTTTTTTTTCAAATTGCTATTTTTGTGTTGTAGAGAAGTACATGTGCAGAATTTAGAATCTGTTTGCATGTCATTTTTATCATTAAAACAAACTCATTATGTGTCATTTCGCTTTCTTTTGGAACCCTAATTACATATCCTGCTAGAACACGGTCATTTTAAAGATTTCTCACATTTTAAAAGGACTAGTGGTGTTGACTAACACATGGACTCTGACTGGATTGTTCACAGGAGGGAAGTTTGTAACAGAAGAAGATGGTCAAAGAGATGACATCAGTGCAGTTGCAGGCAACAGCACTGTATTCCCATCCTAATGTCGCTCTGTTCAACACCTAGTGAAAAGAAACTGCAAGAGTCCAGCCCCAATAGTCAGCTTTCTTCTTTTAATACAAAACTTTTCTATCTGCTAGTTTATACAAAACTGGTGTGTTATGACTGTGATTTTTAAATATGCAATTTTTACAAAAAATTTAAAAAATAATAAAAAAAATATACCTGCAATGCAGGTCACCGTAACACCTCCGTGTTTCTTCTTACTGTTTATTTGACACTGAGCTAGCTGAATATGACCGCAATCTTAATCCTTTCATTACCTGTATTATGTGAACCTTGTACAAAGACAGTTATTTATAAATTTGTATCATAGCAACCGTGGTTGAGAATGAATTTTGTATAGTCCGAGAGATTATTGCTCAGTGTTTAGTTACTCTGCGAATGCAACACTTTTTAAGAACTTGATTGTGTGAAATGCTAATCCATTTTACGATGAAGCGCACACTTAAAAAGTGAAAAGGACAAATGATATCTTGCTTGTGAAACGCTGTGTGTATATATGAATATAAACAGACAGATCTCGAAATAGAAACAAAAATGCTAAACGATATTTTGAGTCATTTGCGCTCCCAGACTAGCCCGCCCCACACGACTTCTATGAGTTCCCCACGCTGCTGCGGCGGCCGGATGTCACAGAGGCCACAGACGCGCCGCTGGCGCCGCCGGCGCTGCCCGCCCTGGCTGAGCCGGTGGTGGAGGCCTTGCTCCTGGCGCCGGCGCCGCCCGTGGCGTGGCCAAGGCGCCCCAGCTTGGCCCGCATGAGCCGCTGCGGGTCCGAGAGGTCCAGGCCCCGCGAGCGCATACGCGAGCTGACGGGCAGCGGCCGCGAGAACTGCAGCGGCGACTCCTCGGGCAGCTTGAGCGCAAGGTGCGGCGCGCAGTGCCAGGCCAGCGTCCGCATCTGCTTGTGGGACTTCTTCTGGGCGGCGTGGGCCTGCCGCAGCGCGGCCTGGGCGTCCATGGGCAGCAGGAGCAGCGCGCCGCCGGGGGCCGCCGCCGAGCTGAGCGTGATGCCGATGGCCTCCAGGTCGAGGGGCCGCAGCCCCAGCGCGCGCAGCGAGGCCACTTCCTCCGGGTACAGCCCGTTCTCATCTGGGACCGGCCGGTGCGAGATGGGCTCTGTCGGCCCGGCGCCCCCCGTGCCGGGCGTCGTCCTGCTGCCGACCGGACGCTGCGGCATCTGCGGCTCGTCCTCCTTGAACAGACGGTCGTCGGGCAGCGGCCAGTCCTCGATCGACTCGGGCAGCGGTGACGTGGACTTCAGCAAGGCGTCGCTGGGGACGTCGCTGTCGTCATCAGTCCCTGCTGCATCGTCGTCGGCGTCCTCCTGCGTGGCCGCGCCGTGCGTGCTGTTCCTTCGTGGCCTGGAGCTGGAGCTGACCGTCACCGCCTCCACGGCGCGGGTGGACATCAGCGAACCACGGCGAGGGCGTGCGCCCCGTGGGCTGCAGTGTCAAGGGAAGTCCCAGTGAGTGAGAAGTGACTGTGCAAACGATGCTGGAACGATACATGGTA